GAGAATGTCACTGTAAATTCTCTGGTTAAACAATGCTGTCTAGAACTTTCTTCAACGATAAAGATGTTTCTATATCTGCATTAAAATACTGTAACCACCTACCGTAGGTGATTACTGGGCAATTGAAATGTGGCTAGCATGACTGAGGGGCCAAATTTTTACTTTTATTTCACCTAAATTAATTGAAGTTTCATATGGATTGCCTAAAGCTAGGAAGTTATGCTAGACAGCAGGGGAGGAGGCTGCCTACCAGAAAAAAAACGACTCTGTTAGAGGGAGAATAATTCTTCTGCTTTCTCTCTCAGAGATAGGTCTTTAACATCATATAAATAATTTTGACCATAAATTTGTGTATTCAAACATAGACTATACATAGTATAGGGCCAATTTAGTCTGGATGTCTGTCATGCAGGGGAAAGGTATTCCAGTGGAAAGTTATAGAACACACCACTAATCCTGCCTCTAGTCTGAGACTGGGGCATCAGACAGCTCTCTCATTGCTCAGATTGTATTTCAGGAGCTGAACCTGCAAACCCCCAATCAGCCACCCACCTACTCACCATACTATCTCGTGGGCATCAGTGAACTCTATTCTGCATGCAGTGGCCATGACAGTGAGTCTCATTGGTGGTGGGGGGCAGTATCTGGACACACTTTGGGTTGTCACAGCTTGGGGGAAGGGTTACTGGCATCTAGTGGGCAGAGACCAGGGATGCTGCTCAATGTCCTACAGTGAACAACACAGCCCACAGCGAAGAATGACCCAGTCCCAAATGTCACCAGCACTGAGATGGGGCAGTGGTTCTCAATGTTCAATGTCCATGACAGTCACTTGGGAAACTCTGAAAAAGTTTCACTGCCCTGGGCCTTCCCCAGACCAACTAAATCAGAAACTCCAAGGCTGGGGCCCAGCCCAGGCATCTGTGCTTTTTAAAAGCTCTCAGAGTGACTTGAACTGGCAGCCAGAGTTGAGAACTAACTACCAGCATACAGCTGTCTTCAACATCCTACACCCTGCAAATATTTGACTCCTGTAAACGTGCATTGGGCATCTCTCATGAAATCTTCCACCAAAACTGCATCCCCATCTTCTCCCTGCACCCTGTCTTTCGACATAGTTGATTTCCCACTGTGGAATGGGGTGGAGGGGGCTCCTGAAACCTGTCGGCCAAAGATGGGTTTAGGCTTTGCCCATCAAGTGCCCAGGGATTACAGAGGGTTGGTTCTCTTGTAAACCACCCCTCAGTGTTTCCTACCCATCAGGGGAAACCTGAGTTAAAAATGGTTAACAGGAAATCTAGTTGAGAGAGATAAATAGCAACTATTAGTTCTATGGCAGCTGTATTCATATTATGCAGCATTACTGAGTAGCAGGAAAGGCCAGCCTTGTATCAAGTCTGTTTAGTTTAATGAAGCAGAAAAGAACAACAGTTGTTTTTGCATTTTTTCTTTTTAAGGTGAAAAAAAAAATATTCTGAAGTTGCCCTTGTTAATTTGTTGAAATGTCATTGGAAAAGATGTTTCCACAGAAGAAAAGAATGTCATAGTTTTTATAAGAGATCAAAACACATTGCCTGCATTATCCTTTAATTGTCAAGAGACACCAAAGGGAACTTTCTTACCCTGGTTTCACTTAAAGCTAACAGCTTGGGGGGAAACCTTTGTTCTCTGCAAATTCTCTGGGCAGCCAGTACAGTCCTGCAGTTCAAGGCTTTCATGGGGACCCCTGGGACCTTTGGAAAGACGAGCCTTCAGCCACACAGCTTTGGGTTTTAGTTGTTTTATTCTTTACTAGGGGTGAGATTTGCTTGAGGTTATGTAAACTCTAAGCACCCTAGTTTTGCTTGCTTGCTTGGTAGCTGCACATAAGGCTTTCAGCACAGCTTCTCTTTGCTGCATCTGTCTGGCAAAGCAGCAGCTGGTCCTCCCAGGGGGCAGTTGCATGAGGTGCTCATTAATGTGGAGGGGCAGCTGGCCAGCTCAAGAAATTTCCAGCTCCAGCTGGGGCCCTGTCCCTGACTTATCTTCAACACTGCGATACTACCACTTACTTTAGCCCAGGGTCTCTCAGCCTATGCATGGTTGACATTTGGGGCTGGATGTTCTTTGGTTTCGGTGGGCTGTCCTGTGCATTGCAAGATATTTAGCAGTCTCCCTGGTCTCCACCCACTAGATGCCAGGAATGCCACCCTAGTGGTGACAACCACAAATTCTCCAGACATTGTCAATGTCCCATGGGGGGCAAAATCACCCCCAGTGCAGAACCTCTGTTGCAGACTTACCAGCTTCTAGCCAATAGTGAGCTGCTGGAGGGCTATGTGAACCAATCTGTGTGGGGAGCGGGGAGAAGGAGACAAGAAGAGATTCTCAACCAGCTAAGTCCACTGCACCAGTCCAGGCAAAACGGGATGATGGTCTAGACAGGGATCTTAGCAGTTGGGAGGAAGAGGGAAGAAATGTTTACAGAGACAGAGCCACCAGGACCAGTTGATGGAATAGAAAGGGGGTGTGTGGAAAAAATCAACACCGAAAATGGGTTTTAGGTTTTAGGCCCTCAGTGCCCAGTCCTGAGATGGAGGACATAGGAGGCTTAACTGGTAGAATGGAGGGAAGGTCCAGAGACCTGCTTTGAGCAGGTTAGGTTTGAGGTCCAGACAGTCCATTAGAGAGGGTGAGGAGGCAGCTGGGTCTCAGAGTCTTTGAACTTGGGAGAGAGGAGTTGGCTCAATAGATTTGGTCATAAGAGCGGGAGTATTTAAAGGCTGGGGAAGCAGGTGTAGATGGAAAAGAACTGAGGACGCCTCCCTCTTGGCAGCACTGTGATCTCAGCACTGTCTTCCATCCCCTCCCCCCCAACAGATTAAAGGAAGCAAAGCAGAAGTGGGAAGAGGCTAGTGGGACCTCAGAGTGACCAGACTTAGCCGGAGGCTCAGTTACATTTGAGTTTTAGGTAAACAAAGAATAACTTTTACCTAAGTATGTTTGACACATACATAATCTCATCTGGCAACCCTAAATGGAAGCCAACACACCAGAGAAAGGTGGTGATGTTTGGTGGCCATGATGCATGCCTTGAGACAGAACACATAGAACAATGCTTGATACCTTCCTTATAGAAGAAGCTTCAGCCTTGGCTGGTGTCGCTCAGTGGTTAGAGCATCAGCCCATGCACCGAAGGGTCGAGGGTTTGATTTCCAGTCAAGGGCACATATTTGAATTGCAGGCTCAATCCCTGGCATAGTCGGGTTCAGAGGCAACCAATCAATGTCTCTCTCACATCAGTGTTTCCCTTTCTCTCCATCCTCCCTTCCACTCTCTCTAAAAAAAAAAAAAAAAAATCAATGGAAAAATTATCCTCAGGTGAGGATCAACAACAAAATTATAGAAGAAGCTCAGAATCACCTGGGGTTCTGAAAACACAGAAACACAGAATCTCAGGCCCCAGGAGATCTACTAGGTCAGAATCTGCATTTTAATAGGAGCCCTGGGGTGATCAGCATGCACATGAAAGTTTGAGAAACCAAACTACCTAAAATGGTCCCAGCAATGTCAAAGATGGGTAGCAATATGGCATGCATAAAAAAGCAGGAGACTATTACAGTAATTGCCTCTTGCTTTGTATAATGCTTTTGCAGTGGAAGTGTTTTTGCATATACCAGCTCAGTTGTAACCAGGAAGGTTCTACTCAATCATATCACAATTACATTGAAATCCTTTGTACATGAAGGGTCTGGGCTTCTCGAACCCTGCTGCTTAGCCCAAGGGTGTGGCCTCTTCTTCAGGGTCTGGCACAGCCATGCCAGAATGTGACAGGCAACACAGGTTTGCACGCTTGCTACTCTGCGGTTTGCAGCACCCCTATGAGTTTATTAGCTAATGTTCGCCCTGTGGGACCACAACAGAAATAGTAGCTCCTGACCACTGAGTGGCCACCACGTAAAACAGGGACTATTCTTCTCATTTTGAGGATGATAACACTAAAGCTCAGAGAGGCTTAATCATTAATTTTCCCGTGAAATGCAAACAGGCAACAACAGAGACGCAGGTCACAAAGAAAAGTCTGCAATTCGCTCTGTGTATCAGAGAGGGAGAGTGGGGCCAATACTTGTGCGGCTTACTGGGAAAATGAACTGAGTTAATCTGGTCATTTTCTCAATGCAATTAGGAAGTGGCAAAACCAGAAGCCCACCCTAGCTGTGGTCTCTGCAAAGGTCCTGCCATCTCTCTAGATCCGTTATGCCCACCTGGGCTGCATATTGCTTCACGGGGGAGCTTTTAACCCATCGCCGGGCTGTACCCCAGCCCAATGATCAGAATCTCCGGAGGGTGATTCTAGAATTAAGAAGCACTGCTTTCTATTCTACCACCAGTCTGGTCCCCTACCTAAAGCCACAGATACTGCTTTCTTCCTCCAATCTGCTTTCAACAACAGTGAACCAGCCAGGCTGGTTGAGGGCAACTTTACAACAATTTTAAGTATTTTCCTCTGAAGAGCTGAATCCCAGCCCTACCTGCCACCCCCTTTGCAAGAGCAAGACAAGGAGCTTCAGTGTCTTTCTAGAGGGATCTCTGACCAGAACTCACTGAGCCGGTGCAGCTGATAGAACCCCACGTGAGCACTTCTACTTCAAAGCTGCCCATCGATGAGTGCTCGAGGCAGCAGAAACCCTGATTTCTCCTTCACTTTTAGTTAGTCTGTGCTGGACATAGATTTCCATGTTTTACCTGACAAGTGGAGACAGGACCTGGAAGAAAGGAAGCCTGGGAGGAGGCAGGTGGGAACAAAGTCAATACTCAGCCCATGTGCACAAGTCTGGACGGTTTGGTGCACTGACTGGATGGTTCAGTGCTGAGGTACAGAGCTCCAGCACCAATGTGGAAATAAACGCTGACCCGGGGAACTCCAGTGTCTCTCCCTCGCTGGGTCACTGCACCAGCCTCCCATGACCCAGCTGGCAGGGCCCAGCAGGGGTCTGCAGGGTGGTTCAGCTCAAGGGTCATCATGTTCTGATTGCTCTCACCTTGCGGGGCACGGTTGTTACATCTCCTGACTATCATCCCTGGGTAAAGTTGAAGATCGGGAGTCAGGACCTGAGTTTTATCCAGCTCTTTTATTTGTACGCCTCACCATGAGGTCTTCGTTTCCTCATCTGCAAAACATGACGTTTAAAGAAGCTGTCAAGTGTTCTTTGCACCATGACCAATACATGGTACTCATTTTTAGGGTTTTTGCCCAGTTACAAATAATAGACTCTCACATCTCTAGCTCTCGCCTTCTTCCATCAGCTAAGGCTCTTTCTTGCTCGTTGGGCCTATGAGGTTGCTCCCGAAATCCAGCGATAGGTACTTTAGTCACCTAGAGGGCTTGGTGTTTTGGGGGTGTTGTGGTCATGGTTGTTGTTAGGGATCCTCAACTTTTTATCACATCACATTTGGGTATACATTGTTATTTTTTTGTTCATCTTCACTGAGGATATTTTTTCCATATATATATTTTTAGAGAGAGTGGAGGGGGGAGAGAAGCAGAGAGAGAGAGAGGGAGAAACATCGATGTGAGAGAGATATTGATTGGTTGCCTGCTGTACGACCCTGACCAGGGCCAGGGATGGAACCTGCAACCCAGGCACATGCCCTTGACTGGGAATCAAACCTGTGACCCTTTGGTGCATAGGCTGATGCTCTAATTACTGAGTTACAGCGGCCAGGGTGGGACATACATTTTTAAACATGCTTCAAGTTTCCCCTGAAACCACAATTACGGCTATACTCCATGAATCCTTGGTGATGCTTGAACTGGGGTCTTTTTCTTTCCAGTGCCCCTTCCCCACTGTACAGTGGAGACTTCAGCTAATGCTCACAGCACCACTCTGGTTTCCTGCTTGCTTCTGCCTACCCGCGTTGGGCAGATTATAAATAGTTGGGACTTTTTGTTTTGTGGCCAGAAATGATGAACTTCCTGAGTCCATGTCACAAGTAGATTCTCTTTGATTTCTCCACAGATTTAAATTCTGTATGTCATGGTCAGTTGCTGTTCCCCTACTTCACACCCCTCTCTACCCACTAGGAGCTGGAGTTCAAGTTTAACTATTTTGTCTTTACAGCTGTGTGTTGCCACATTTGGAGACACAATATTATGCCACTGATCTAAGTGTAGAATGATATCCCATCACTTCTGCTACATATATTGTTTATATGGAACAAGGCAAATTATGGTCCCAGACTCCCTCATTTAAAGACCAAAATGTTCTCACACTTGCCTATTCAGTGGCTCATTACAAAGGAAGTATTGAGTTCACATTGCCTTACTAGGTACATCACTTCCCTTGATTTCCTTTGTGGGATGTAATAACTGGCATGGTTTCCTTCCCCCCAACATTTTTTCTAGCTAAACTAAAGCCATTTAATGTCTTCCATTGGGTCGACTTCATTTTAGAACAGTGATTCTCAATGGGTATGATCTTGTCCCACAGGATGTTTGACAGTATTTGGGAGACATTTTTGATTGTCACAACTTGGCAGGGGTGAGGTGGAAGGTGTTATTGTCATCAAGTAGGTCAAGGCTAGAGATACTGCTAAACAGTCTCCTATGTCACAAGACAACCCCCACATCAAAGAGCGATTCAATCCCAAATCTTGTTGGTGCTAAGGTTGAGAAACTCTGAGTTAGGGTCAGTGATTACTTCTTCTCCTACTCAGGGGGAATTTAGCATCTTTTGCTCAGCAGGGAAGTTAATTCAACCTCAAGTCAACCTGGGTTCTGACCTTGCTCTTACCTCACCCCGATTCTAATGACAGAAGTTCCTGTACTCAAGTATCTACCTTGGTACCCCAGGTATTTCACACTTGGATTCTGGGTATCTTGCTCCTGGGTAGTTCTTGCTTGCCCCAATCCTGCCAGAGCTACCAACTCAAAAACTAAGCTCTCAGTTCGGACCAGGACCCTGCCTCTGATTCACAAGCAGTGTGAGCCCAAGCTGATGTCCTACCTGTTTTTGTAGAAAACCTCTTCCTCATCACCTGCTGGCTCCTGCATATCACTCTACCAGCCTATCCACCAGCCCACCAGCCCCAGCCCATCCCCATGCTATTTGCTCCACTTTATGATGCTACATTTCTAGTGTCTCCAGAAGCCTAGCTCTGCACATGGTCCAGCTCTCTAAACTTCCCCTCATGTAGTTAAACATGGTCTAGTCCAAACTTCTATTCTTTCCCAGTCAGCAAGTCTAGTTTCTAAGACCTTGCTTCCATTAGTCTGGTCATTCCTATTGCTGGATGTCCTCCTGTTCTGACCCATGAGACAGATCCAGCTATATACTAAGTTATACCAGAGTAGCCAATAACACTGTAGAAAATAAATTCACGAAAAAGATGATGACTGAGTTTATATAGGTAAAAATGGCGAGCGGGAGAGCCTTTTGATGGAATGTTTCAATTTTCCAAAGATGTTTTTCATTAGGTTTTTGTTTATTTGTTTTTTGAGCTATAGCTCCGGAGAACAGAACATGCCACCCCCAAATATGCCACTTTGGCATATGGATGATCGTGAACTGAAGAAAGCTGAGAAACAGCAGATGCTAAAACCAACTTTCTATTCTCCCCCTACCCATCTCCCTGAAAGCAGAATGTAAAATTTCATTTGTAAAGATGTCTTCCTTTCTCATACCAGGAAGGGGAGGATAATTCTTAAACTCTTAACTCTGGGGACAAGTCTACACTCTTCTCAGGCCAGAGACAGCACTCAGAGAAATCCAGATAACAAAGTTTTCTGAATAACCATTATCTTCCATTAGTTTCCTCCCATACTTTCCCACAGTTTGCTGCTCCTGAAAGCCTTGACCCCTTTTCCTGTGTCTTGTTACTTCTCTATCGATTTATTGCTCTTGGTTAAGATGCTATATATGCTCCAAGTTCTAACTATCCCTTTGAGTTATTCATCATTGAGTTTCTCCTGCACATATGTGCTCTGCGTTATTAATAAGTGCTGTTTTTCTCCTATTAATCTGTATTTTGTCAGTTTAATTTCCAGGGTCTCAATGGAAAAACCTAGGAGGAAAAAGGAAAAGTTGTTTTTTTTCCCTTCCCCTAAAATAGACACTATTGAAAGTTGGCGCTAGTATGTTTAGGAAGGCTTCTTAAGATCCCATTTTGAAGCTTACTGTTTCAGTCAAAAAGAAGAGAGGGTGGTCATTAAAAGCCAAGAAGGAATACTAGGAGAAATGATGACTAGATGCAGTGTGGTGTACTGAATGGGATCCTCGAACATAAAAAGGTCATTAGTGGAAAAACTAGTGAAATCCAAATAAAGTCTGGGGTTTTCTTAATTATAATGTACCCATGTCAGTTTCTTCATTTTGACAAATATGCTATGTAAGGGTTTTTTAAAAAAAAAAAAACACAAAGGGGAAATTGGGGGAATTTTTATGCTGTGAAGAACACTTTAAAAATGATAAGGACATGGTTTTGTTTTGTTTTAATTTTAAGAGGATGTGATTCCAAGACCACTTCTGTTTCTTCCCCTGTCCAGATGCCATCTTTTAGGTCAAGACTGTGAGACAAGCGTTTTCCAAGAGAATCATATGGTGGGTCCCCACATTCTCCCAAGCTCAGAATGGCTTGAAACAGATGTTTCAATGGTTTGGGACAGAATCCATTTCCACACTGAAAAACTCACACCTACCCCCGAGTGTATTTGTTAATTTGTTCCATATATATATATATATATATATATATCACTTTGTACTGTAACAATAATCTTCCAATCACAAACATATGAAGTCCCAGCCTTAGTGGCCTCACAGAAGTATGCACTGCTATCAGAAAGGGTTGGCCAGACCCCCAGGGGAAGAAAGATGTGAATTTCACTTCATGGTATTTTTAGCTGGGGAGAGGCCAAGCATAATTTCTCAGGGAGTAAACCTCCCAGACAGTAAATAATTACTGAAGGTTTTCCCTAAGGTGTATTTTAGGGTGATGTGAGTATATACAGTTAAGGGTGTTTTAAACATGTCATCTCTCTGCAGGATAATAAGGAGAATATTTAAGAATCTGCTGCTATCTGATGCAGCGTGCATATGCACTCTTCAAGAGAGACTGTGACAGATTTTTTAAGTGGAAGATTTGCTTTTCATTCAACAGCATAGGATGCCTGTTTTAAACACATTTGTTTGACCAATATAAAAATATTATTAAAGAAAATAAAACCAATCCATGCAGCCAGTGTCTCCCTTGCAAGATAAGAGGACCAACCTTTTGCCCTAGCCCATGTGGTTCAGTGGTTAGAATGTCAGACCACGCATCAGAGGGTTGTAGTTTTGATTTCCAGTCAAAGGCACATACCTGGGTTGCAGGTTTGATCTGGTCAGGCTTGTGCAGGAAGCAACCAATCAATGTGTCTGTCTCACATCAATGTTTCTCTCTCTCTTTCCCCTCTGCTCCCCCTTCCCTTCCACTCTCTCTTAAAAAACAAACAAACAAACAAAAAAAACCAACCTTCTATAAACTGGTCAATAAAATTCAATAAATAAACCTGGGTTCGGAATGAAGTCACTGATGATACAATTATTAGTCAGAATAATTTGAAATGGTAAGAAGGTGCTTATTTCCTTCCTCTATAGATCATGTTGTTTTTATGTTGTAAATAGCATTGTACTTCTTTACCTGCTTGTCTCTACCAGGCAGAGCAATATGCATATGCCATGGTGCCAGGCATGGGAGGGTTAACTTCCATGTTATAACTCCATGATATGTACATACCCAGGACCTTATGGAATATAGTCTTTGTGGGATCAATAAGTTGCAAGGCCAAGGACCTTGATTTCCCTAGAGTTCCACAACCCTTTCCTTGGGGCTGTTGCAGCATTTAGCATCACAAGCCATAGAGATCAGGAGAATGGGAACTATCTCCATGAAAATGCCCACCAGAAGTAGTTATTGGCATTTTCAATTATATGATATCAATAATCCTGTGTAATCCTGGGTTTCTCAAACTTAGCACTATTGACATTTGGGGCCAGATAAGTCTTTGTTATAGGAGCTGTCCTGTGCATTGTAGGATTTTTAACAGCATCTCTGCCTTCTACCCGATAAATGCCATTAACACCACTCCCCAAGTCATGACAACAAAACTGTCTCCAGACAGTTTTGCCAAGTG